CAATTGCTTCCTTCTAATTGTATACAATAACTATTCAGCTATTTTAGTAGCGAAGACCGTGTTAATTGTTAATAGCCTAGTGGTTAGTGTTTCGGACTTCGGTGCGGGAGCCACGGGTTCGAATCCCAGCATGACTACAAGGCAAATGGGTTTGGACCACTTTCCCAAAAAGCATTTAAATATTATTCTCTCATTTATTTCCTCTAAAAAATACCAATCGCATAGACAAAATGTTCCCTTTTTCAGAAAATATAAAAATTAATTACAAATATGGTTGATTACCAACGATTGCCTAAGCATACGATATTTAATGAATTTTCTACTGTGTGAAACTGTTGAATAGTCGGATAACAAGCTATATTTCCTCATATATTTTCTATCGTCAAATTAATGAATAAAATAACTTCCATCTAATACCAACAAGATAAGAATAATAGTTCAGTTGTTGTCTTCCTACAACCTGTTTCAATTCGTGCTGCAGAAACAGGGTAGACAAGATGTTAGACGGGTTATGTCAACAAAAAACATAGATAAGACGATCAACGCAAGGACAGATTTTTAATTTTCTGTATACAGACGATAAAAAATATCTATCCTCCAGCTTGAAAGGTTCTGAGCTTTAATCTCAATATATTTATACAAGTTAAACGCTCGAATTTAAGTTGGTTTCAATTAAATATAGTGTTAAAATATATAAAATATATTACGCTATAGGTTTATACATTGTTGAAAGCTGTAATACATTTTATAAAGGAGTTAAGCTAATCGAACACCATTGCTATAAACTTTGTTATATGATCCGCTATCTCAGTTTTCTAAGGTGTTATTTATTTTATCTACCTCAGTTATGGATAAAGAGTTTGTTTGTGGACAATCTACTTTGCGGTTGAATAAAGTTTAATTGCCTTTAACTTCCGCTATGAACTTTAAAGTTGATCGTTAAAGTTAGCTGTTTCCATTTTCTCTGTTCCTTGTGGGAATTAGAATTTGTACTTGTACAACACTATTACTTTAATGAGAGATTGAATATTATTTTAATGTACTGAAAATTCACCAAATGTGTAGTAAAACAAAGCAATAATGTTTATTGATATAATAAAATAGGTAGGTGAATATGGTAAGGTGATTACCAAATTAATTTTGATTGTACAGTTTATCAAGCACATGTTTTATTTCTTAAAATTTTTATTTATTTATATTCTAAAAATAAGTGTAGTATGGGTATCTCCACGTTAAAAGGAGCCATTTAAACAGACGAATCAAATACCATTAATGATTTCCTCACTTCATTTTAATAAATACGGGTTTTTTGTCCGGTTGAAACCCGTACGGGTGGTTATTTTTTTGTAGTAGGAGGAACAGCATGAGAGATTTAACATTACATGATTCCGGCTACAGTTTAATCAATTAATTAAAATGCTACTGTACCATACTACCGCATCGTGGCCATGCGTCAGTGCTTCTTAAGCTTGCTTAAGTCAGAATTGTAGCAGCTAGTGTGGTAAGTTTATAAATATAATACGCTTAGTTGAATATTTCACCCAATAAACAATTGACACAATTTATTTAATTATTTTCATCGATTAACCCTGCATAAGTGTTTGAATATTAATACGAAATATATGACAACTTTCTTTGTTAAAAACACTCGTCGGGTAATGGAAATTAAATTTTACCACATAAACTATTCATATTTTACATTTTTCAGTTTATTAAGTGGTAAAGTCTGTTCTTTAGCTCCTTGTTATTGTTTCTTGAACACAAAGCACTGACGGACAGTCACGGCACAACAATGGAAGTGTCCGGCCTTGTCTTATCAATCTCCTTTATCATTCCTCTGACGCCGAGATCATCACATCACCATCAATAATCTACTTTAACAATGAGATTTAGAGTATCCCAAAATAAGCTTATTTTGAAATAATTATCGTTTGCAGATATTATAGATTTGTATATACATTGTGAAGTAAACATAGACAACCATTTATTAAATACCCTGTGAAAAAAATTCTGTATGAGGTATACGATTGTGTTACTTTTTAACCAATACATTATAACTCGTTGGTAGTCAATGGTATCATTCACCAAACCCAGCTATAATACTTTTATTCAAACTGCATGGTTAAACAAATAAATACTTTAACTAGAGAAGAACGTGAGTAAATTACTTAAATTTGTTTCACTACTTGCTGGTACTACTTACTACTTACTTACTATTTTAAACTAATGCCCTATTTTACTCGTCATTGCTGTTACAACTTACTAAACCATTTAGGAACTACTAAAACCATTTAGGAATTTATGGTAAACCTATTCATCAATACTGTGCGCTATGTGTCCTGGACAGAGGAAACTATTGTGCAAAAGTGAGATTGTAAATTATATGAGGTTTCGTAGAGACAGACCCATATTGAGTTGTTTGGTCGAGAATAGTTATATTTCCTAAGTTGCATAATCAAGTGGCCCAATAATAGCTACAATTAATAAAAACGGAATAATATTCTGTACTAAAATAGAGTGTATTTTAATACACTTCTTTCATGTGTAGTCACCATCTTGTGAGTCAACAGTATAAGTTTGAATATATTATTACTGGTGTTATTAGACGTATATATTCTTGTTTTTTTTCTTCTCAGCATTTTGATAAAAGTTCAAAATTTTAATAGGAATCAATTTGATTTTTTTTGTCACCAGTCACAACTTACACTAACAGTAATCTTACTTACAAGTGTACCACCTAAAGTTGGTTTTAGTGTCACTGACTAAACTAAGTGTTGTATATAACTTAAGTTCTGCACAACTGTAATGTTAGCAGAAGACATATCGCATCCCCTGAAGGGTGAACAACACTAGTCCTAATTGGTGGTTTCCATCTACAAACCCAGCCACTTGCACCTAAGAGGCCCTGGAGGCGAGTCTTCCTATTCTCAATCCACAGACTTTGTGAGAATACATTTACACTTGCATTTGCAAGTTAAAAGCTTCAAATCAAGTTATCTATAATATTAAAACGAAACAGTGTTTTTTATTTCACGATTCTGAATCAACCACTCGACGGATTTTCATGATTTTGGTGTTGAAAGAAAGATAATTTTGAGAACTAGGGAATGTCGAAGCCATAATTTTAGTTTAGGGCCCCATTTTTTTAGAAATTAAGTTTTAATTTTTAAAAAGTCTAGCAGCCGACGCTAAGATTCTAAACTAGCTTTTGGCATAAAATAATTTGCTTAACATAACAGCTGTAAACATTCAGCTTTTGTGTCACAAATTCAGCATTTGGATAAAAATGTAAAGACATACTTAGGGTTGACTTATTTATAATACTATGTGTAATGCAAATCATTGATACGTTCAATTCTTCTGTAAGAGGATGACAGATTAATTAAATATACGTAGTAAAATACTAGGATGTTCAAATTATTTTTTAAAAGCAATCTTTGTAATCTTCGAGTTGTTTTAGAGCAATATAATTTGTTTTTAATAACAGCTGGTTAAATATGAAAATGCTCTATAGAACTATGAGGTTATTTTATTTACTCTGATTTTTTCATTGATTATAGGAAATAAATAAGATTAATAGACCACCGAGATAAGTAACACCATCGATGTATACAAGTCCAAGTCGGGGCTCTGTACACGAGTCTTAAAAAGGATATACAAATTATTTTACTGCTCAATTGTTTTAGGAAAGGGTAGGAAAATCACAATTTTTACATGTTTTAATTCATCTTGGTGGCGTTTTGTTTACAATCAATGTTTTTGAATGCTTAAACTTTGTTTGGATTAGGCCCGGAAATATTGACGTCATAAAGAAGGTTATCAATAATCCTCAGGAATACGATTTTAAATTACCACCACAACCTCAGACGGGTTTTATCCAAAGCTATAAAGATGAATGACACAGATTGAACACAACGTCATCATTGACCTAGGATACTGCAATTAGACTAACCATCCTTTTATGAAATCTAAAAAGTTGTTTGGCATGTGTTTAGTTGTGGTTACGTTTGGAGGCACTGACTATTTTATAGTTTAAATAAATGAATATGGGGAATTACGATGTACATTGATTCAATGAGGGAGGTTTAATTATCAAGGATATTAGAGCTGACAACGGAATGGATAATAAACACAGAGAATTAATTACGTAGCTTTACTAGCGTGTTTACGTTTTAAATTCCTTCACCATGTGATCAGTTTTTTTTCCAAATGAATACTATTTTATTTTTGAGTCAGCTGTTTACAAAACAAACTATATGTTGTTGTTTTTACTTTTCTTTGTTTACACTTATTTATTTAGCAATTGATGCAGTGAAATTGATATTTACAGGTTGTGTGTACTGTGTGGACGATTCGTTTAATGATGTCAGGACACCAACGTTATAATTATGTGTACTGTGAATTTTATTGGATGTTTTCGTTTTATTTAAGGGAGTTTCTATTCAGACCTACTGGAAATTGTGTATAGTGTGAGCCCGAATACTTCGTGAGTGTGAGTAATTGTTTTGTAGTGATATTGATTATGGAAGAGGCAGGTATACGATGGAATTGGAAGGTGATATCGTTGACTAGGCCTATACACTTCTCAATTGATAATTACTTTTTCTACTGTAGGCTGCAATAAAATTTTTCTTCATACGTGTAAGCTAGCTATTCTGAATTATACAAAGTTTTAACTGACTACTCCCGTACGTAGGACGGGCTAACACCTCGTTTATTAGATTATTTCTTTTTAGTTTAACCTTATTGTGCTGTATCTCACTCTTTAGAGAGCCTTTTAATTGGGTTTCTGTGACTTAAGTTCTTATTTTTCCACATTTTCAGCTTTAGAAATTCAGTATGGTTTGTATTTGTACACTTTATATTATTTTTACCAGTTTGAATTCCATAAACACCACAGTTTAGAATATTACAAATATTACATCATATCTGTGATATGAAGACTGACGTCTCTTCACATTGAAAGAGAATAGCAATAAAAAGTAACAACTATTATCTCTAGTAGTTTTGCTCTCTGATAACACTTTGGCTCAGATAAGTCGTCTGAAGAAGTGATATTGTCATAAACACAGCTAATCCTACACAATGAGATTATTCATCTTGGGACTTGCTTTAGCAGGTAAGAAATACTATAATTTTGACAAGTATTTAGGACATTTTTATGGTGAATAACACACAGGTTTACGATTTTTATTCATGGTTTTGATAAAATTGTGATGACTAAATGCAATATTTGAGAGATTGACTTTTTTTCGCCCATAAGTCCCATAAATAACTTCTAAAATAAGTTGAGCTTCTTTCGTGATCAAACGTATTTTAATTTTGAGGGTTTAGGTAGTTGTAGTTAGTGAAAAATATATTTAATTGCTATAAACCCACGTGATCATAGATCTTATTGTCGCCAGAAATCATCCATATTTGAAGATATCTATCGTTTAAATAAAACATGATTTTCCAGGTCATGTGATTGGTGCATGGAGTTCAAATGTCGGATCAAATCCAGCGGTTATCCAGGACTTCCCTTATTTCGTAAGTAAAGACAAATTTGTCCATTATTGTGATTTTGTATAATGTTAAAAATCTTAGTAATGTCTCATTTATAACATATTTTTCAATTTGTTAGCACTTTTTGTAAAGAAACGGTATCAAGGCTAGATGTTTAATTCATTTTAGATCAAAACTATTCAACAATTTAGTCTAACGAAAATTTTCAGAATATGATTAAACTAGTTACTAGTTTAAGATTCGTTATAATATAAGGGGGTAATTTTGTTATGATTTTATTTTAAACTACATAAAAGTGCGTATTGTTGGAATAGTATCAACGTAGTTATGCTAGATATGTTACTTCAGCTGTTCAGTGTTGTAGAATGTATACATTTACAGTTAGCAGAACGGTAACTAGCAACAAAATCATTACGGAATAATCCGTATCATTTAAGGCTGAAATAAGGCATTGCTCGTTCAAATATTCTGTGAAAGTAATAGAGTTAAAAATTTCACTTCTGAGTTTGTTAATGTTTATAGGTTTTGTAATGTTATGTCCAATATCTTATTATATAGAAATCCTCTGAAATAATAGCTTGACTGAACAGTTTATTTTTCATTGGCGTGGTTTTTTTTCACAGGCTTCCATCGAGAAGAATGGAGTATACGCTTGTGCTGCAACTATTATTGATGACAAATATGTTATGACCACATTCTCCTGTGTGGATGGGCAAGTAGACTAAAACAAATAGCATAACGTACACTATCATTTAGATTAGTTTGTTTCATATGCCATGGAAAAAAGGATGCGTTAGGATTGAGAAAATTGCGCTCAAAAACGTTTAAGTGCATTTGTTAACACATCGTGTTTTAAAACGGAACTACCTACTTTTGTAACAAAATAATATTTAAATGACGTAACATTTTTAAAATTTCTGTCCAAAGATATTCATGGAAAAAGACACATTTACTAAAAATAATCTTGACCCGTGCAGCACACTAATATCACGAAAAATTTCGGTGTGTATATCTCAAGAATAAGGCTTATTTTACTACATGCTTTATTCTAAGTTAACCTTAACAGATCCTTAAGATAATTGTGAATTCAGTTAGGTTTTCATTGCAAATACAACGACTCAATTCTAGCCACAAGCACCTGAAATGAGATGTAGTTTTTTTCCGATTCTCGATTATGAAACTTATTAATGGTTACATCTTAAGTTCAATAGCAAATAGTATCGTAGTTTAACTAACATAATATTCTTTTAAGAAATTATGACTTTATAACTGCACATTTGTCTTTATTTCAAAGCTTAGGTGACATACGATATTGTTATGTGATTTAAACATTTTAAGATGGCTCAATAGATTATTTTTTTATTTCTCATAAAGTTAGGAATTTGGGGTTAACGTTTGGATGGATACCTAAGCAAAATTACAATTCAATCAAACGTCAAATAAGTACATTATTATGGTTTAAAAAACATAAGCGAGGAGTTAAAGTACCTAATACTCAGACAAAGGAACCCCTGTCATGTTTTTTTTTTTTTTTTTTAATCAACTTAACAACAATTTCTCACACTACCTAACCTGAATTACACAACTGGTTTTCACAGGGTTGATGTCAATACACTTGGAGTACGAGTGGGTACATCTCAACAGGGTAGGAGAGGAGACTACTACAGGGTTGTCGAAGTGAACTCATCAAGGGCGTTTCCCTTTGGACCAGGACCATCACCAGGACCAAGGGTCGCCTATGACGTTGCTATGGTCAAGGTATCAGACACGACGCATTGCATTTGTATATTGTTGTATGTAATTAGTCCCTTATGAGTATATTGTCAAAGTCCAGAAAGTAAAATTGGATACGTAGTTTATATATACAAGGATTTGTTCCTTAATAAACCTTTATGACTTGTGTACCAGAAAAATCATAAAGTGATGAGAAGTATAAAAAATGGTTTATTTTTGCATTAACAATAAAACAAAAGAATTTATTTTCAGTTTATAATTAATTTGTGTTAAAAACAATTGAAATAGTCAAACAGCTTCAACAGATTTTACGATAAACGTTGAAAACATACACAACCTGTCACCTAAGTTAGTTAGGTACCGTTTATATTAACATCAAGATGTTTAATATTTTGTCCTCAAATTTGAACTATCAATCAATTACCTATTAGTTGAGATGGGCACGCTACCTGTGTACGTATTCCTACCCAAATGTGAGTGAAGGGTGGGTGTAGAATGTTGTGAGATGATCTGTGTAGCTTTGCTACTGACTAAGATCAGCTGTTTCATCAGTCAGGATCATTTATTCAAAACCCAATGACCAGGGACAGCTGGGCACAGTTTCGAACATTCAAAAAGCTACTGACTTTTCTCAAGATTGAACCGGTAACTTTTTTATTGTTAGGCGGGCACTTTAACCAGCCAGCTATTCATAAGCAATCTTGATTAATTTGTAACAATCGCATATATATTTTACCCAACCCAAGGTGGTCACTTTACCCAAGCCAACTTTTGGGTTTTTAATAAAAAAGACTGTATCTACTAACAAGGAATCAGTGCATAAAAGGTTTTGGAAAATACTAAAACGTTAGTGCTTTTTCTTTACAGGTAGCAGTTTCCTTCACATACTATCCTAAAGTAATTTGGGCTAACCCGAATGCTGATGGGATTCAGGAGCTTGAGGAAGGTTCTGTTGTAGGCTGGGCGAATACCAAGGTAAGTGTTTTACTAACCACTACGTATCATCATAGAGTATGTTATGAATCTAGTACCCGAATCAAACTTATTGGATTTGCTGAAAACCCCCATTGGAAATATATCTTAAATATATCCAACTGTTGTTCTATGGTCTTTAATAGTTTGTTTTGATGTCATAACACAAGTTAGAGCCTATGCGATTCATATGATTTTATATGAACTTAAGATTTGAAGTTAATATTCTTTAAATTACTATTGTAAATTTACCTGTTACAGTTACAAAAAAGCAATTCGAACAAACGTTGTATCACGTTCTTGTCGATAATAACATGTAATTAACAGACAATTGTTCTTTTATATTTAAATTATCTTAACTAGATATTTAAAACCCCTATGTTTCAACACAATCACACAAACCAACTAGAATGGTGTTCAACTAGGATATCAAAGTTTTCAAATAAACATATTGGTGGCCACAATTTAGTGGATTCAATTTTACAAAGGCTAATTGTTCACGGACCAAAGCCTTAATCTCAGTAGTTTATTAAGCAAGACCGTCAACTTAGTAAACCTTTCAAGCACAACATTCATAACGAGATCACTATTCTCTGTAGCAATGGGGAGGTGCTCTTAGCTCTGCCAACGCATACGTTCTATCGTCCAATAACTGCTCTCAGATCTACGCTGGCATCATGAATATATCTGCAGATATGTTCTGTCTGTGGCCCACCGACCCAGCCAACAGCCCTTGCTTTGTGAGTAAATAGAAATACACTTTTATACGTATAGGTTACTACAAAGAAATATTGATATTGATTACGTATTCGGTAGTTGATTTATTTGAAAAGCTTGCTCATTGTTGTGGTTTGCCCCTGAGCTGGCAAGACAAATATTAATAGTGGTTTATTAACCTTGTATTTTCGTCCCAGCTCAAAAAAGTTGTATGGAAGCTACAACCATGGTTTCGACGCCGATTTCATCATGTAGGACATGTCGAGGACATATCTGCAATAACGACAGCAATGCCTTGATTCTCAACATGTTCTACGTGAAGATGACACAATCGGCGTCGAAACCATGGTTGTAGCTTCCATGCAACTTTTTGAGCTGGGACGAAAATACAAGGTAAATAAACCACTAATAATACTTGAATAGGAATTGAACTAAGACTTTAGGATGTGTAGTAAACGATATATTTTGGTCTTGTACCAACAACTGAGAGGTCCAATACATATAGTTTGCCTATTAGATCTGGTGATATTAGCATTAACTGGCTGGATAGCTGAGTGGTTATAGTGCTCGCCTAGTAATCAAAAGGTCGCCGGTTCGATCCTGAGAATAGTCAGTAGCTTTTTGATGGTTCAAAACTGGACCCAGCTGTTCCTGATCATTGGGCTTTAAATAAATGATCCTGACTAATGAAACCGCTGATCTTAGTCAGTAACAAAGCTACACAGGTTATCACACACCATTCTACACTCATCCTTCACTCATATTTGGGTTAAAATACGCACCTAGGTGGCGTCCCCATCTCAATGATTGACAATTGATAATTGATAATTGATGATAGGAGTGTCCAATCTCAATTCATACAACTTACAATCTTTTTATACATTACCATCCGATGAGTAACTCATTATGGAGTGTAAATGTATGTTTTTTTTGGTACTAGTGGACCTAGTCACCAACTGCGTATTTTCATAAGGTTCGTCTCTGAGGCAAAACGAATACACTACTTTAAAAAGATTATAGTTTTTGAAAAATTATACTATTTACTTACAATAGTATGCAAAGTATAAATATAGATAGATTTACCATCAGCTAAGTAAATATTACAGTGTTGTGTGTTTTGAGTATTATTAGACATGATTTTATTTAGCACGTTGCCTACCAGCCGCTACACTCATCTTTATAAGGGAACTATACTCCGTTCACACAGCCGTGGCACCTGACGGATTAGGACACCCCATGGAAACCCTTGGGGCCTCCTAATCCCTCAGGTGCCACGGCTGTGTGAACGCACTATAGCTGGCCCGGCGAACTTCGTATCGCCTAAGTTATAGGTTTCCCCTAAGACAGACCGATGGAAAGAAAGTACCGTTACGTTTAATTTTCAAGATGATCTCGTTCGCATCGCTCAATCACGTCCTGGTTGAAGTTCGTTCGCTACGCTCACTCACCTTTGGGTTGGAGCTCGTTCGCTACGCTCACTCACCTATAGGTTGGAGCTCGTTCGCTGCGCTCACTTGCCTTCAGGTTAGCTCGTTCGCTACGCTAACTCGCCTCCAGGTTGAAGTTCGTTCGCTACGCTCACTCACCTTTGGGTTGGAGCTCGTTCGCTACGCTCACTCACCTTTAGGTTGGAGCTCGTTCGCTGCGTTCACTTGCCTTCAGGTTAGCTCGTTCGCTACGCTAACTCGCCTCCAGGTTGAAGTTCGTTCGCTACGCTCACTCACCTTTTGGTTGCAAATTAGCTGTTGTCATAAATGTAAAAGAAATAATAGTGCTGCACCCTGTTGGTAATCCTTGTAACTTTAATGCTATTGAACATCATAGAACAGAACCAACTTGTTTAATTGAAACAGCTGTTAAGATTCATTAATTCCATTTCTCATAAGGTTAAGATGGGAAACTCCAGAGCCACTGGGGCGGAGCCCTTTTAAGAATTTCGAAACGGGAAATAGTTTACGTCCGATTCGCATACCTACAGAATTTACACACCAAATTTCATAACGATCGGTGAAGTCGTTCCGGAGGAGTTTGCAGACAAACACTGTGACACGAGAATTTTATATGTTAGAAGATTTGTGTGGCCTGGTAGTAAATTTGTTACTATCCCTAAAATACTAATGTTCCATGGCTCTTTTCAGGCAGATATGGGGGCTCCGTTCTTCCTGAATGAGCAATACTATGGCATAGTGACCCATTCCCCAGGCTGTGACAACCCGAACCTCCCCGTGGTGGTCACTGGCATCTCTAAGCTCACCAGCTTCATAATCATGGTTCTGTGCGACGTGCAGGACATGTTTGGTCAACTTGGCATGCAAATGGCTGGACTTTCAGACGATATGCAGCAAAACCTGCCTTATGCTAAATATTCCATAGACATGTAATTACTGTATTGAAGGTGATGATTAAAGTTATAATGAATCTTCCACAGTGGTACCATACCTAAAATCCTAAACAGACTGTTGTCATTGTAGTTTAATTGTATGTGCACTTTCGGTATTTATTTTTATTTCTTGTGAATTAAAATTAAATTTAGAAACATTATCGTATGTATAAATACTGTACTGTTATGCCTTTTTTATTTTTTATTTTGCAACTCAAAGAAGTACAGTAATTTTTTTTTTTTTAAGAGGATGGCGGCCTCTTTTACCTTGCGTTTTCCCGTCCACATAGACTACAGATCTGTGCGTGGAACGTATCCAGCAAAGCAAGGGGTGAGCCGGTACAGTACAAAGGTGAACTGTACTGATAAAAGTTAGTGGCAGTGACCAGGATCCGAACCCAAAACACTACTGCCTTGGGCCCGAAGTCCGCGACGCTACCGACTGAGCCACCGACTCACCAAAGTGTGATAGTGTGACCAATATAGTGATCTTGATCAATATTATTAAATAAGTTAGCACTATGCACAATTTAATCCATATAAATTAACTAAACAATTTTGGAATTTATTTTATACTAAGGATTTTTTTTCAATTCATTCCAGAAAGATTGATCATAAACGTTATCAGACTGAAATCGTATTATTTTGTTTATATTTTATATTATAGGTGTATATTTGCATTGAATTAGTAATTATCCTAATCAATCATATTTTTTTTTTAAATCAAAACTGTCCATTTAAGAAGCAAATTAATAATCACAATTAATTAATATGCAGAAAATATAAAGTTGTATTTAAATTTTTTATATGTGAAACTTTTTTTAGGTATTGTAACGAGATATAGTATGTCTGTATACATTTTAGTGGTTTTAAGTAAAGTGTAATAAAATATTATTATTTAAATATATTTTTTTACATAATGAGCAAGTCTTTACGTGGGTTTGAGCTCACCTCTTATAATTGCGACCTAGCCTTGGCATAAAGCACTAATTAGACAAGGCCTTTGAAGCTATACCTTTTATTTCTCTATGTACCAAACGAAAGTTGTCTAATTATCCTTCTTTTACTTTAAAATGAGGCTTTTTCTGAAACCTTTTACTGAACAAACGCCTACTGTAGAACTAGACATATAAGGGGGGTATTCATGGTAAAAAATAATAAATTATGTATCCTAAATTCTGGGGTATCCTTATTACGTAATGAAATTAAAAATTTGTTTTAAGGCCTTATAAATTTATAGCTAATTCATGCATTTACTTACTTTGTCGCACTATGTGTATGCTTTAAAACAAGTTGACAACACTTAAAATCTATTGATACTACGACTTACCTAACATATAAACCTGTTATTATTTGTGCGCTTTTTAGTAACTGTGGGGGAAATATAATGTGAGGCTAGCGCAAACAGCCTCTGCGTTATGGTTTAAAACAACTATAGAATAATATACACACAAAATATATTTTAATACGGGGTACAGTTTGTCATGAATATCGTTGCACCTAATTTTATATATTAAAAAGGTCCGTAAAGTCTATAAAGATACGAACAGAGGTCAGTGGTGCAGGGAGGCTGAGATCGAAGAGCAAAGGGATTGTACGATAGGAATGTTTAATATCCTTACATAGCGCGAGGCTGCCCTCCTTTGTTTCGATTACTACTTTTATAGATTACCGCTGATATTGAATACCCAAATGTATAAGATTGGCACCAATAAAAATGTATCCACGTACAACAAATTATAGTGACTAATAAAACAGTTTATTGTATAAAAAAATCATCATTTTGAATTTTACTATCAATTCGTAGCTGCATAGCTATAGTGTAAAACCATGGACAAATAGTGTTTAAGGAAGGCTTTGTTATTCTATTACTTAGATTTGTTTGGTTAAAATTAGCTATACAAAATGTTACAGCATAACATTTCATTAATTGTTTGAAGATTTTATAAGTGCGGTTTACGGATTTTCTAAGGTTGTTAGAAATTAGCAAATACTATATTTAGGCCTAATCCCTAGGCATTGGATTGACTATTTTCGGCAAGAGCTCAAGATTATCGACCGAGGAGAAGCCTATGCAGTGTAGAAAGGAAACTTCTAGCCCGTGTGATGATCAATACTTTTCGGGTAATGCAAACAGTCCAAAACTTCAAGTTCAAATTAAACACAAAGTAGGTCAACATAAACTCCAAATATTTTTAACAATCGTTTAACTATTCATCTTTGACGAGCTGGATAGCTAAGTATTAATTAGGTTCATGATTAAATAAGACATATATTGACGGTTCAAAACTAGATGTATGCCTCATCTTTTCGCTGCGGCCATGACTCTCCAGACCTAGTTTTTAACCTACTCATGTAAATATTCCAAGTGTTCACTATAGCTAAAAATAAAATATAATAATTTCATAACTAACAACAGGACACAAAGTAAAACAGCAAAAAAGTAAAAATAACAAATTGAGTTGTTAGCCATTTATGATGACTGTGGTGCTGATCAAGGCCCCACTAGAGTGGGGTATTGTGCTGATCCGAAAATAAATCATTTTGTTGTTGTCTCATGGCTGGTCATTATATTTTATGGTTTTTAATAACGATTTCTGGTCCCATCTTCCAGGATAGAATGGTTTTAATGCAACACAATAACAGTGTCCTCGTTTTATTGTAAAGCGCTTACAAAGCTACGATAAGTAAAGATGTTTAACGACGTTTCCAGATGTAGTCAACATTATTTATCTTGTGTTATGTAATAATCGTGTTAACCATTTCCACGGTGGTATAATAGTTTATAGTGAAAAATTGTGAATAAAGGATAGCTAGTTTTTTGTTTTGAGATGATGAGATGTTTATGACCAAATAAGAAAAAAACATTACATAAAACATGTAATTTCTCATTCGTGAACTATTATTATAGATACCTTTGTTTCTTGAATGTCTATACATTCTAACTCAAGTATGAGAGTCCATAAAATATCTGTTAATCTGATTGTAGAAACGAGCACCAAAGGATGCTAATTACAATTTAATTACTTGGTTAACCGATCTGTTGGCTTGCTCTACGTGTACTTCCAAAACAGGACGTCAATTGTAAAAATCATCTTAGATATGCAAGTCAACTGTATTTGATTAATAATAGAGTACTGACTTAAGACATTTCCGTATATTTTAAATTACATGGCTTCAATTGGCACAATAGCCGCTTATTATTTATTACATTTTGCTTATCAAGTAAATAGGTAAGTATAGTTGCAATTAGATTATGCTTAAAACATAATGATAAAGCAATAGAAAGGTCAAGCTTAACAATGATTTGAAAATTGCAATATTGACGAATAACATTGATAGTCAAAATTAAAGTAACGTTTAGTAGAAAGTCTCTTTCTTGTCCTTTCACTTGAGCCGCCGAAACTGAGAATACTGACTGCAATACAGATGTACGTACAGTTCTCTTTTAAAATATATCTGTCAATAAATTGATTATTTCAAACATTGACTCACTAAAGTTGACTTAACATGACACAATCTAAATTTTACACCAAAAATTTGTGTAATTTTAAAAATTTACATAGGTTAATCTTTTGCATAGATATTGTAATTGAAATAATAAGAGTCATAATAAGAGGCATGGTTATTAATGCATTAAACCAGCTTTCCATTAAGGTTTACGAAATAAGTTATTTTAGTTGTACGCCTGATATATCTGAAGCATCCTTGCTTTGTTCGTATATAATCATGCTGCATGCTGTTCAGTGTTAATGGTTGTTATTGAATCATGGTTAGTTAAAGGTATAAAAAACCAAACCAAACCAAAGTCCTAAAACATTAAGGATCGTATGTATTTTCTTTTTGTTACAAATTGGAATTCATTCGTAAAGCTAAGTTGAACACATAAAACAAACAACACTATCCAATTGAAAGGATTTAGTTTACTACACGTTCATGGTTCAGTACAACAGTAAACTCGGATTAGGTTTAGGGCAATTTAGTTTTACGGCGGGGGAATTCTTCTCAAAACAATATTTCTGTGTTGCTGGAAAAATGTTTCAATCCTTACTATGATATAAAGAACAGTGGGTAAATTTTGTGGTTGAGTATTTAAAAATTGCCTTTACATCACATTCCCCGTATTTATTGACCCAACAGATGTTTCAAAGTGTTAAACCAACATTGATCAAGGTTTTTAAGGTATTGAAATTTAATTTGTACTACAACCGATCTATTTATTTCAGACAAAAATTTTACTTTAAGACAAATGGATGGGCGAAAACGTTTGTAAATAATGTGCAGGAACATTTATACACGTTTCTTAAGTCATTAACATTTGCTTTTAGAATACGCAACTCACGATTTATGTGGTATCTCAGAGGCGTATTAGAATTTTTACTTCGAAGACGAAATCTAAGATGTATTTGAACACTAGAAACGGGAAACAAGATTTTGCTCTAAACGAAACAAAACCAACAAACCAATTATGTTTCTCAGAGGATGAGGTTACTTGATTGTATTAAAACCATTCATGATTTTGTATCATTGGCTTTTACATTTTGGTTAATTACATTGTTAATCATAAGACCAAAGTGGTTCTGAAAAGCAGTAGTACTGAGAAACGATTGATCAATAAAGGTATTTTTATTTATTTGTTTATTTTAATTGATGTTCAGTCTTTAAAAAATTCAAGATTGTTTAGGATATAACAGTATAATATGATCGTTTTATAGACGTGCCCAATGTGTGTAGTTCTGATAAGAACAATGCCCCAGAGACTGTTAGAAAATGCCGAGCGCAAATCTCAAAGTAAAATTTATTAATTAACTTGATTATTAAATCCCTAATTCATGAATATTGTTGAAAATATAGATATTTTGTGGACAATTTAAGAAGGTATGGTACTGAGCATTATCCACAGCTACTTTTAAATGAAGTTTCATCACAATAATATATTGACGGTTGCGTGCTAAACGATCTGGTTTCAACAATTTCCATTTATTGATTATGTTGAACTCAATATTTTTATAAAAGCATATTTTAAAACCTTTGTGAATATAA